GCCAATCGATTTTGGCAGAGAATCACTTACTTGACTTTGTCGCAGGAGGAGGGCTGTCCTCACACCTGATTGCCTTTGTAACTAATACAAGTGCTACTGGTGTTTGGAGTCAAGCAGAATTGAGCAGAAGTGTCAGAGTAGTTACTGCATAGTTGTAGTGGCTTGCAGTGCTGCAATCATGGCAGGAGATTGTAGCAACCCGAAGAATTTGTGTCTGCACTTGCAGCGAAAATCAAGCTATGTACTCTTTGGCCTCTCCCTTGACATTCTAACCTTGTCAATTCCAGTTCCAATAATACACCACAGGTCTTTTGTTGGCTGACAAGGCTAGAGATTGAGGCTAACCACCGCCCACTCCATCTTGGTAGGCTGGACAGCCACGGGGACGAATTGCTGGTGCTGACTCCATAGTCTACCATCCACCAGCAGGCGTCGAAAATGTGGTATTCTCATCTTGAAAAAATGTTTTCTTGTTCACATCATTTCACCTCACTCTGTAGCCTCCCTACAAATCAATGCATGTGTGATTTGCAAGCACTAGATAATATATACCTAGTACATATCAAATGATCCAAGAACTTCTTCGTGTTTTGGGGCAGCGAAGCTATCCAAATGGATCGGCACACCCAGCAGCCGTGGAGGCTGAGAGCCACTGAGATTGGCCTCAGTCAACCTCCAGCTGCTAAGTCAGGGTGCCTCAGCCGCGTTCCAATGGGTGCTGTGTCATATACAGCAAGTCTCAAAGTGAGTTGATTTGTAGTCGCAAGCTGAGCAAGCTGATGAATGAAAAACTGTGGATCACTTTTGAGTTCAGGATCCTGTTGGGTCTCACTAAAGTCAGTTCACCATAAAATCTACATACCACAAGTCACATGCTGTGGATGAAGCTGCCAACGCTGCTAGCCATGGCACGCCACCATTGCCTCGTGAGTCATGGGAAATGAAGGACGGAAATATAATTATATGGGAAATATGTTGCGAAAAATCCAACCAAAGCTTTCCAAGCAGAAGGCTAAAACAAACGATTTGGGGAGATTCCACCCACCCTCATTTTTTAGCGGATTTGTTGAGGTGTTCAACTGAAGCCGCAGGGCAAGAAGTGGTTCTGTTTGTACAACAGGGACACATCCCACATACTGGCACCAGAAGCACTACACATCAAAACCGTGGGTCCAAATCGAAATGATAAAAACATGAGTAACAAGGAACAGAATGGTCAACTGTCAATACTTTCTGCAATAAAATGATTTCCATTGTTTCCGAGCTGCCATGGGCATGCAAACAGGCATCATGGAGGACTGCATCGTCTGCATATTCTGCATGTTCTGCATGTTCTGCATAGAGGGCATTGGCTGCATCATGTTCGCAGGCAGCCCAGGCATCATCATATTGTTCATGTTCTTCATGTTGCCAGCCTGCACGGATGCAATCGGATGCATGGATCTCCATCCATCTCCATCCAATGTCACCCTTCAGGAATGTGACATCAGCGGTCGGGCATGCTCAAACCCCGACGGATCTGAGTCATTCCAGGAGCATACAACATCATACAACATCATACAACATCATACAACTAGACAATTCAAACCAATTCAGTGCGAACTGCACGTCTCCCGCCTCCATTGGCTGCATCACCAAGAACCTCAGCGATTGCTGAAATCCCAGGTCAACGGGACCACAAATCTCCTGAGATACTATGAAAGACTCAAGAATGACCGTCAATCATAATATTGACAAGAGTCTTTAAGAGGTCCGTTTTGAGGTTCGACAATTCTCATTTCTATCAGTAGTACCAAGCCCCTTTGGCCAACAGCCCCTGGGGGGCTTCCAACTTACGCACATCTGGTTTAGGACGAGCAGCTGATATGGCATAGGTCCGGACGGGCAAGATGCCTGAAAGAAAGGATGGCATCATGCAAGGCGGCTCGAACATGTGGCATCCCTGATTTTTCGAGACACCAGCAACCGGTCCAATTATCTCTCACACGATCTTCCTCAGTATCGGTCAACTGCAATACATCAAAGGTTTTTTTGGCAAATAGTGGATTCTGACTGGCATCTTAGTTCAGCAAAGGATATGAGAAGGATATGAGATACCAGACTCGTGCAAGTGGCGCCACGTTTTGCCCGCCTGGGAGGGCTGAGGTGCCACAGTTCCAAGAGGTGCTGTCTTCCAAATCATCTGACCACAGTTGCTGCAGAAAGGTCCACATTTGCAAGTTGGGCACACCTTGGTGCAAGCGAGTTCCAGCATGTTTCAGCCAAAGCCTTATGGACACAGCAAAACAAATCCGACATATCCGACCCTTTTTCGCAGTAGCCAAGAGTCGTTTTCAAAGCGCTTTGGCTGCGAGTCCACCTCAACTTCCTCAAAACACACAAGGCTTAGAGGCTCAGAGCCAAGTAGCCCCCTGTGGCACCCTTGGCATCTTGAACTTAGTGCTGTGGGCCCCCTAAACCAAATGGCATCCGCGGATCCCAATGTCTTTGGGTGTTTCAC